TAGGTTCTAGAGTTAGTAAAAAAAATTCAAGAGATAGGGAACGTAGCCAATAAAAAACGAGAAATTGAAAAACCTATAGTTAATGAAGCTAATGAAGTTGCAGTTTTGGGACAAGTTCATCTTGATCCTAAATTAAGTACGAGGCAGCTGGCATCTATGTCTGGGATCAATCGAACTAGCATACAAACCATTTTGAAGAAGAAAAATTCCATCCATACAAAATACATTTAGTCCAGGAACTTCATGAGGATGATTATGACCGCCGTTTGCAATTTTGCGAAATAATGAGTGAGCGAGCAGGAAACGATTCACAGTTCCTTTTTAAAATCTTTTTTTCTGATGAATGCAGTTTTTTCTTGAACGGGACGGTAAATCGTCACAATTGCCGCTATTGGTCCGATTCAAACCCAAGAGATTTTCACGAGGTGCATACACAGCAACCGGAAAAATTAAATGTATCGGCTGGAATTTTTGGTGACCCGCTGGTGGGTCCTTTCTTTCTACCTGGTAATTTGACTGGTGAAATGCATTTGCAATTACTGGAAGACGCTATTGACCCTGCCTTGACTGATATTATTTGTTCCAGAGTATGATGAAGATCATTTGATTTTTCGACAGGACGGTGCTCCTCCGCATTATGCGTTAATTGTCTGTCAGTATTTGGACCAACGTTTTGTACGGAATTGGATTGGGAAAAGAGGCAGCATTGGCATACCTAAAAAGTAAAATCTATAAAACACAGCCAGCGTCGCTGAAAGATTTGCATCAAAGAATCGTCGACGAATAATGCCGTTGAATCACTCCGGAAATGCTTCGGAATATGCGCAAACGTTTCGAACAAAATCTTTATTCTTGTATGGAAGCGGGCGGTCATCAGTTTGAAGATTTAATCAACTAAACATAATTTATATTTTAAAATGTAAAGAGAATTGTAAGAGCTTTCAAAATAAATATTACTCAACCCCCAATGCCATTTAAATATTTTGGGGTGATGCTTACTCTTGCTTGGAGGTGAAAGTGGCGGTGTCAAAAATACCAGCAAAGAATGCCCCCCTTTAATCTAAAATCGAGGAATCTGAGCGTTTTTCTACAATCTTGACGCAGTTCCTGAAAATGGCCCTGTTTCGTTTTCATTTGGCCACCCTGTATATAAGTTCTGGGTTTACTTAACAATTTGCTCAATATTCTGCTTTGAAAGACTAAATCTCGCAATGGCCAATATAAAAATTGTTATGGGAAATAAAATAATAGTATTAGATATTTATGCTCTATTTTAAATGAGTAGTCATATAAGAAACTTCAGAGTTTATTAACGAATACATAAATTATATATTTTCAATAATTGCCTTTTAATTAAATTTCTCTTAAAATTATTGACTTGACCAGATTAGGTTATTTGTTATCTCTCGATATACTTTATTCTTTAGAGTAGAGAAAAAAAACCATAGAGGTCAAGTCTGGACATCAGGGTAGCCACAAAATTGTACCGTTGGCACCTATCCAGTGAATATATGATTTGTTTAGGTGCTGCTTAACGGCATTTGTTTTGTGTGCTGGAACGCCGCCTCCTTCTTGCTGCCAGACAATATGCACATCAAGAGCATTTACCAAATTACATATTTCTCCTCTGAGAAGTTCATTGTATTTCACTCCATCAAAGAGATGAAATACTGGACCTGTTTTACCTCTGAATAGAGGTAGAGGTATATTGGTGTGCATTTTCTGGCGCACAGTGATGTGAATTCCTTCTATTAAAAACACCACTTGTAAAAGTGGGCTCATCAGTCCATAAGATTTTTATTGTAATACTCTCTGAATCGAACTCCAGGATATTTCCAAATACCTTGAAGCATCTTGAATCGAATGTTTCGGGTTGTCTTGAAAGTAAAGTAAAATAATTTCTTGCATATTTTCAGTTATAACGTTGTGGGGTTCATTTCTTTTTTCCTTATTTTTTACCGTACCAGTTTTTCCTCATTTGTTGTAGATATATATGATATACATTTTATAAGGTATGCGCCTTGCGGGGAATCTTCGTGCAGACTTGCATCTGACAAGAAAGATAAGCATTCAACAATATTATTATTTTTTTTTAACAACACTATAAAAGTTTTACACCATTTTCAAGGGAGTACTGACAATAGCGTTAAATCTGTCAAATTTTCGGGTTTACGAAAATATATTTATTCTACATAGCGATTTTGATATTTATTGTTCATGGCGAGATTCAGTCTTTCAAAGCAGAATATTGAACAATTTTTTACGTAAACGTACAACATATATACATTGTTGGAATCAGGAAGAGGCAGAGATTTCGAAAATCGAATAATATACAGGGAATTCCATTTAAAAAAACATAAGTTTGGTTCGTATCTTTCTAACGCCCTGTACAATATCTATTTTCATAAACTCATTAAACTTGCAGAAATATTGCCTACAACTATTTTTGTCTAACTCAAAAAGTAAAAAAGTTAAGGGGGGTAAAATGTTATATGAATAATCCTGTACATCAAATTTAAGTTTACGTTTTTTATAACAAATCATTTAAAAAAATTACAAAAATACCTATTATTTTGTGAGTGCCCTCAAAGTTTATTGGATCATTTACATGCGGTGCATGGTGATCTTAGTCAAATCGCTATATTGCCTAACGTATAACCCGCCACTGCGAGGAACGCCCCGACGGGTGAATTTTATTTGTAAGGGGGAAATTTAATTGACTATTTCGCCCAACTTCAACTCCAGAAAAAGATTAATTTCACCCTCAAAATTTTAAAGTGTGGATGGAATCTAACGGAGAAAAATTCGATAAAATCTTTTAGTGTTCTAGTTAATCTCTAGTAATTTTTAACGCGTTAAAAGTTTAATTAAACTTTTTGTTGTCGATTTCATTAAATAGTTCTGTGTTAAGTCGTATCTTTTCATTTAAATGGATTTTTTGTCATGTTACAGAAGCAATTAAATAATCGCAAGATAAGGTTATTTTTTTATTTGGGAAAGTGACTTTGTTATGATAAAAGTACGTCACTGAAGTTGCATAATGGGTTGAGATGGTTATACTGTTATTACCTCATGCCAAATTTAAAAATAATTGGTACAATTTTTTGCAGCTACATACAAAACATTTTTTTAATCTCAATTTTCATACCTTATAATTTTTTATATCGACCTCACGATTATCTGATAGCATGTGCATTACATTTAGATACGCCCAGTGGTCATTTGGAGGTAATTCTTATAAATTTTCTGGACTTATCCATCCAAAAACATAATTCCATATTCCAGCTCGACACTAATTATCCCGGAACTAAAAATAACACTCTGCTGGGACTCGTTGTGTCGGGTATTTCATCAATCAATGTTAGTAATTATATGGAAGAGAATCCTATCCTTACACTTCCTGTTTTTGTTGATTTGCTGTTTTATTCCACTGTTTTTGGAACAATAGCAATGCTTTAATTATAGAATGTTTTTATTTTGCATGATTGTGCATGATCGATTAAATTGTTTGAAACAATAACTCTTTTTTCATAGTCAATCTTTTATAAAGATTTTGCGAGAGTTAAAATTTCGTAAAGTTTAGATGTAATTCTTTAGAAGTTCTACATTCGTTTATTCGGTGTTATTTACTGAAAATTGCAATGGCTAAAAATAAATTTTATTTTCCTGCTGAAGGTGCCATGTAATTTAAACTAGAGATTCCTCTTTATTTTTATAAGTGTTCAGCCACGAATTCGAGGGTGTTATTTTTAGGAATACAAAATTAAAGTTTTTTTTTATGAGAAGCATTTTCTTAATAGAAACATGGCCTATACTGTTCCTCAATAATTAATCTAATACGTCCAAAACAACCTGTCAGACACCTACAATAATTCCACACGATGTCAGTGAACCTAGCTTTTGTATACAGTGGCACCAATTTGGTGGTGCATACATTGGTATCTTGGAAACTATAAGAGATAGGAAATTGGTTAGATGGGGAAAGTTGTAGACAGTTGTGGTGCTAAATTAATGGTGCTTGCATACCGATTCTAGCTGGCGTTTTCGAAATTCGTCTACAACTTTTATTATTTAAAGGAAGTTTTAAAATCTGAAAACACTTTTTCATTGTAAGTTTTTTTAAAGATTTTTACTGTATATTTTTAGATTTTCATTGCGACATTTCGGTTGCGAGAAACCATCAACATTCTTTTTTCTTATGGGTGACATATTGATTTTTAAGCTGAGCAAATAGACCATTTTTTTGGCTTTTCAGTGATAAAATATAAGGAAGAAAAAATGTAAAAGAACAACCTCAAAAAATAATATTTTAATATTTTTAGTAAATCTGGCAACACCGCGTCATTGGAATAACGCAAAGCTATTTTGACGATTTTAAAACAAGTGTCACTCTAATTGTTAACAATTAATTCTATGATTAACAGTAGTTCAAAATGACAATCAGAGACTCATCGACTACTATTGGGACTTTTCTTCGTAAACCCATGGCAATTACTATCATTTTTTCACTCAATGCCATGACATTAATCATAAGCTTTTACATAAAAATTTGAGACTAGTCTACAGTATTTTCGAAAAATTATGCGGTGTTGCCAGATTTATTAAAATATTAAAATATTGATTTTTGAGGTTGTTTTTGAAATTTTCTCTTATTTATATTATATGTGTCATTGAAACGTCAAAAAATACACTACAAATTATAAATAAGTTGTACACATCGATCTCAATGTAATTTACAGTTACAAGTTTTATGAGATATGTCAACGATTCTAGAGAACTATGAACGTGTTAATATGTTGTTAATCAATCAATGGCGAATGCTAGCAAACCGCTGCGAAGGCATAGCGTAGTTAATAATGCTTTTCAGTATATAGTACCGTAGGGTACGCGTATTGGTATTTTACAAGAGATAGACAGCAGAAAAGATATTTTACCGCACAATACAGCTTTGAAGACAAGCAGATGTACATGCATGCTGAAAATTGTATACTCCTACTTACCGGTTAGATGTGTATCTATTGACCCTCTTTTAAAACAGCTGAAGCAGCAACAGTAATTGTGTCTGCAACTGATGACGTAACTTCCGTAGACTATGGGGTTCATACAGCTGTTGGACACCACCATCATGAAGAAAGTATCCTGCAGCCATTTTGGTAGTCTAGTAGCTCCTTCTCTATCGAACATGTACCTAAAAAGACAAAAATTGGTGGTCAATATAAATGATTGAAAGTATCGTTATGCAGAAAGGTTATAAATTTTATCAAAACCAATTTCCATCTCATCAAAACTACTTTCTATTGTCGGTACCAATTCAACGAATTAGCGTTACTGTCGCCAACTTTGATAATAAAAAGTACAAAATGAGAATCACATAAAATATTAATTTAAAAAGCAGCGGTATGTTAAATTATTTTCAATTTCTTTATAGTTGTTCAATATTATTTTAATGAAAAGTAATGGAAACAAAAGTAGAAGTTACGCAAATGAATATCCCTTTTCTCGGTGACTTCAAATCCTATCAAATTTGGTTTGGATTTCGGTTTACGTGTACAACTCTATTAAATTTACATGGGACTAGATTCATTGAAAAAAGCAACCCCATTCAATTATTCACATGGTCGTCAAATCCAGAGGTTCTCAAACAGTGGTGAAATGAAATTAAAAGAAAGATATATTTGTTGAAATATACTTCTATATAATCCAAGACCTTGTTTTTGACTATAAAATTTTATAATTCATATTAATGATATTATTTAAAATAAATTTGTGTACTTCGTAGACGAACTGAAAATACTACTTATTTATTTTCATAAATTTATTCTAAAAGTTACCCATAAAAAAAAAGAAATAAAATTAAACTTTAATTACTTCTTATGTGTAGTTTTAACAAATCAATAAAGAACAAACCAAATTTTAAAAACTATAAAAGTTTGTTATAACTTCTACAAATCCACCATTTATTTCAATACACTTCTCATTCCTTTTATGTATGTTCTACCTTTCTTTTTCGTTCCGAACAATTTCTAAGCAGGCTTGTATTATCCTAACTCGTAACCCTTGCACATTTTGTGACCTTAATTTCTTTCAGTAAACCCTACAGAAAAAATCTACTGACGTCAAGTATTGAGCTCTCGGCAACCACTTAATCAAAAGACTGTTTCCTTTTATCCAAAAATGATCTTCTACGCATTCTTTTATACACAGCGTTATAAATGGGATTGCCATCCAACTGAAACTTCTTCAATGACAAATCATCTAAGCCGTTCCAAAAGACGTTCTCAAGAAAATTTAAAAGTTTATTCGCATTAAAGAAGAAAGGACAAATTATTCTGTCAGTTACTATTCCATATCAATGTCAATTTTTTGGAATACTGTCCCTTTGTATTTACGAAGAATTCTGTAATGTCAGCTGACCAGTGACGGCAATTTTAACTTGAAACAATGACATTTAAAATAAATGTGGTTTCATTCTTATAAAAATTAAAAAAATATATTTCGTAGTTAATACTGGCGGATAATTGTGGTGAATACGACTTGTGTCAAAAGAAAAAGTCCTTCTAATGAATCGGAGCTAAAAAGCGATCAATCTCTTATCTAAAACCTATCTACTACCGAACCCGTGATGTTGTTTCCATACTACTAAGTTTTTATTGAATAGCTGTCTTATTTATCTGGCTGGAATTTAGGGATAGTATTATAACGTCAATAAATTTTATAGGCTCATGGACACACAAGCATTCTAATCCCTATAAGTATAGAAATACTTCCGCTAGTCCAAAAAGTTACCAACAAGGATGTAAAAAACATGATTTTCTCTTAGAGAAATATTTGAAAAATATAAATGTTTCCATCATCATACGCCCAATTGTGATAGTAACTGGTAAAATTTTAAAGCTTTGTCACCTTAGAACATTGAAAGGCTGTAGCAGAACTAGTCTTTGCTTTCGCTTTTGTTTTAAACTCTTAAGAACAGCAAGCATAATAGATCACAAAAGGTTAGATTATGTAGTATTATTAAGGGCATCATGGATTCATTGCTACAATAGCATGCTGTGAAAAGCAGTAGGAAGAACAATAGTATCAGATCGGCATATAATTAAATAAAAAAATATTTTCAAATGTAATTTAAATGTTTAAAAGATAGTGACCTAATTAAGTAGAAAATACTAGAAACATCCATTGTTATGCAAAATTATACTATTATTCATATTTAACAATTCGTACACTTTGTAAGCTGTAAAATTATTGGTATATATTTTCGGTTAAACGGCATATAAACGTAAAACTAATTTACCTTTTTTTCTTTCGAAACATATAAAGTTAAATGTGCGTAAAATTTAACAATATGGCTGAGAAAAGAACAGCACACTGCTCCCAGATGTAATAAATAACAACGCCTACCAGAACAGCAAGTGACACTTCATTTATCTTCCACTATCCATTTTACATTTTATTCACGACTCTTATGAGAACTGTAACCATTACAGCTTGTGAATTAATACATTCATTAACATTATATCAGTCGTTTTAAACTTTTAGCAGCTGAAACTGACATGTTCTGTGCGTTTTAATTACTGCATTATACATAATTATTTATCTATGATCTTTTCAAACGTTTTATAGGAACTTGTGTAGTAATAGTTATTTTCACCATAAAGGAGGTAAGTATTATTTACCAGTCGAGGACGATTTTGCTCCCGACCGGAGCGAGGGCTGGCAATAGAGTCCGAGCCTGGTAAATTATACTTAACTGATGAGTGGTGTATAACATTTTATCTGCTCCCACAGTTCTTTATAGTTCATGAAATAAATATTAGGTTTTATTTTTTGACATTAGCCTTGATTGTTTGAATTTTGTCATTTCTAAAGTGTTTGTAAAAAAATCTACATAAAAGTTGCAGTTTTGACTTATTATGAGTGATGATTTTCAAATAGAAAGTGCAGCAAATGCTGCCTCCGAATTTTTATTGCCCGAGAAGTCGAAAGTGCGTTACGGACGACCGTATAGAAATTTTAAAGGATGGTGCTAGAACAAAAATACTGGTGTTTCTGAAACGTCACTGCTAGCATATTTCATGGAGAAGTTAAGGTCTCTAAAGTCACCGGCGAATTTGTGGAGGGAATACTCAATGATTAAGTCAACTATTTTCATAGAGGAGAACGTGGATATATCAAAATACCCCAAGCTGAGGCATTTTTGAAGCGTAAGAATGACGGCTATACACCTAAAAAGTCAAACGTTTTTACTATAACACATATTTGCTAATGAAGGTAGTGACGGTTTTAGCCATTGCAGAAGCATGCCGTTCTGATGAGTTATGCAAACTTACTTTGGATAAGGTCAATTTCAAAAAATTCGATGACATTATTGTAGTTACAATACCAGATTCTAAAAATGGTATGTCACGTATGTTTACAATTACTTCTGGCCTAGAAGTTCTCAAGAAATATATGAAAATTAGATTGCAAATTGAAACTGAAATTTTACGCTTTTTTATGCGTTATCAAGCAGATAGATGTTACAACCTACCAGTCGGCAAGAATACCCTTCCTATGATGATAAGATTGCACAATTTTTGAAGCTAGAACATCCTGAAACATATACAGGCCATTCATTCCGAAAAACATCGGCAACGTTACTGAGTAATACAGGAGTTGATATATTAGCAATCAAGAGACGTGGTGGGTGGACATCGACCACAATTGCAGAAAGTTATGTTGCAGACATTTTAAATAACAAAAATGAAATAATCAACAATGACACTTCAACTCCAAGTTCTGGAAGTACGTCGCATCATGCTGTTTTAATGGATCAGTCAGATAATATTGAGCCTCCGCTGACTGAAATGGAGCGGTCAAATCATTTTGAGAAAAATGTGACAATTAGTAAACGCGAGGGGAATAATTATCCAGATTTTATAAATGTCACTAAATGTAATATCTTTACAGGGGCAATGAGGACGACCCCAACGGCCGCGTTAGAGGTCCTTCTGGGGCTGCCGACCCTTCCTACATGGATTATAAGGGAGGCGATGGCGGCATACCTTAGGATAAGGGACGCCGGCGGTTAGAGAGCTAAAGGACGCACTGAGGGCCATGCTGCCGTGGTCCTCAGGACGGAGAAGGACATCCCAATATCCGCCATGAGGGTTACGGAAGCAGAGGACCGGCTTAGGTTAAGAAGGAAGTATGTCACCACTTTCCCCTCGAGAGAGCAGTGGAAGCAGGATAGTGATATGTTCTCCCCGGGATCCCTAGTGTGCTATACTTATGGATCTCGGGTAGAAGACGAGTTTTCAGGAGCAGGAATTTATCTGGAAGGCAGCGGCATCCAGGAAAGCTGCTATTTTGATGGTAGGAAGCAAGGAGGAGGTAAGGAATTGTGCAGGGGAGAAGATTTTTATCTGCCCCGACAGTCAGGCCGCGCTCAGAGCGGTTAGCTCCCCGAGGACTAGGTCTGCCCTTGTCCGAGAATGTGGAGACGCTCTAGAGTCATTGGCCAAACGAAAAGAAGTAGAGTTGGTTTGGGTCCCAGGCCATAGGGGCATCCCTGGTAACGAGAGGGCGGATGAATTAGCGTTGTCAGCGTCATAACGTTGTCAGTTATGTATTACTGACTTATGTTATATATTACTGACTTTGTTATATCATTTTTGTTTTATTGTTGTTTTTCTCATTTTATATTTGCTATTTTTGTTTAGTTTATGTTTAATAGTTATAAGTGTACCTATAATTAAACCTATTAAATAAAGATAAATGGATAATCTAATTTATTTTTTCTTGTAATTTTTTAGTCTAAGTTCGGTGCTTAATATAAAAATAATAATAGAAAACGAAGACACCAATACTAAATAAATCTCATGGGCAACTGAAAAAATATCTATACATTTTTGCATTTTTCTTCATTTAGGCAAATAAAAAGTATCTATTATTATATATGGCTGAAAAGGTAAAAAAAATTCTATTCAACGGGATGGCCAAATACAGGGTGTTCTATTTAAAAAAACCTATGTTTATGTAATATCGGAAAAACTGTGCGATTTGTAAAAAATCTGAGTACGCCACTGGCTTCCTAATAAAAAATAGAACAAATAATGTGCACACTTTTTTCTTCTAAATTGAATGACAACGGAGATAGAGAGGTTAATGTAAATGGGCCATTTTTCAAAAAAACCCTGTATATCTAAA